GGCGAAGAAAATGGAAGGGGGAAGGGGAAAGGAGGAAACGAAAATTGAGGGCAGTACCAATCCCAATCAGAGAAATTGACAGACATAAGTCTTGGGCCACCTCCTACCCTATAGCATCAGTTTGCCTTTGGTTCGGATTCAAGTAGCAGCTGCAGTTGACAAACCCGCATAAGGTCCTCTCACACGTCAGCCCAGCGCCGGCACACTTCCACATGACAGCAATCCTGACAGCTTGATGGCGTGGCTAGCACACCAATTGACATGTGGTTGACTGAAAACAACTCCTCAGCATCAACACGATACTGACAATTTAGTGCCACCAGCACTTGGTTTCATCAATCATATCATTGCAGTCGTCATGAATCCAGGCTATAAAGACATTCAGCTTGGACGTTGACAAAGAAATTGTTCCCACAGAACATCATCATCGTCATCATCATCATCATCATCATCATCACATCATCACACCCCCATCATTAGCGCCAGACATCTAATGCCTGACCTCACACTAGACTACGACAAACTTTCAAATTTCAAAGTTAAAACCTGAAAATTGAGACATACGATAGTCTCAATGACAGCGGTCAATCCAAGATGGATGGTCAGGTCACATGTTGAGCAAACGACCTTGAAGCTCGGACACTTTATGAACAGTACCAGTACTGTGTTTCTCCACCAGCGAGATGAGCCAGAGGAGGAGGAGAAGGAGAGAGTACAGGAATATGGTCGGAGAAAGTTGGGTGAGAAGGACCAAGCCACACGTCGGAAATGAGTGCCAGAAGTCTGATGTTGGGAGTCGAGCTCGGAAAGCAGAGAGAATGACATTCAGATGTCTGATGTCGAGAGCCAAACATCAGCAGTTGCAACTCGAGCATCATGCGGTTTCAACCAAAGGGCTATGATAAACAGGTTATTAACGACTTTAAGAGATGGGAGGGGAAAGGTTCCATCCTCTTGGGATTACACATTTAAGATGGCAGGAATCAACTTCGGAAGGGCAGCTTTCAACTGTGGCCGTCCAATCAGAGCAGACATCTCACCCAACGCCTCCACGGTCTTCAGCCGCACCTACACAGGCAAAAGAGACACAAAAGGGAAAATTATTTTTCATGACCTACTAGCCATGTGCAGTATTCTCATCTGGGCAAGGCTTTATGCATTTGACCACTATTGACATCAGAATACTGAAAGCAAAGGCAACCTAACCATAACATGTGTCACGGAGTCCCCAGGAGAAACTGTGGGCCCAGCCATGGCCATTGGTGTGGACGACAATCCAGGCTGCTTAAAGCGCCAGTACACGACCCCAGCCTTGCAACATTTCTTCACCGCCAACTCCAAGAAAAATCCAAGGCTCGGGGCTACCAGACCACAATGACTAGCGGCACCAGCCAAAAAAGAAAAGAAGTGTGCCGCTGGCAGTTCGACAAAGCTTGGTGCACAGTGCCGCGCTGCCAGCCCCGGGTGTACTGGTCTTTTAAACAGCATAAGGTCATTCTGTGCTGGGCTAGAACCTCCTGCATGCTGTTGCTTCCCATCCTCGACAAATTGTAATTATCACCAGTCCTTACAAGACTACTGCCATGATTTTGGAAAAAGCAGTGCTGACTTGAGGAAATCATGGTGAGGAAGGATGAATGTCGATCACATTGGTTACCAGGAAGATGGGGACGGAGGATGAGAGGGAGGAATGGACAACCGGAGAAATGAAGAGAGGGCAAGGGAAAAGGGGGGAAATCAGGGAGAGAGGGAGAGAGGGAGGAAGGTAGGGAAGAGAAAGGAAGGTGAGGGATATATGATACAGAAGATCGAGTAAGGGAGGGACGAAAGGGAGGACAGGGATATTGGGAAGCGAGGCGAGGAAACCGGAACGACAAAGGACGAAGGCAGTGAGAGGGAGGCACAGAGAGGGGGGAGTAGGGTGGATGATGGGGGGGGGTTGGGGTTGGGGGAGGGGGGCAAGAAGATGGATTTCGAATGACAGGGACGCAGAAGAGAGCAAGGGAAGGCGGGAGAGTGAGGGTCTGAGGGAAACAGGGAGGGCAGCAGGCCAGAGATGGTAGATGAAGCCCCTCCTCCACCTCTGCTCTTTCGGTGGCGTCTGAAACAACTACAAGAGATTCCTTGAGCGAACTCTGAGTGCCTCCACTCAGTCATCAAATGCACACTAAACGCCCCACAGCAAGAAAACAATGACGAGTAACCTGAATCATTAGTACCTTGCAGACTCACACCACATTACAAAGATATGTCATACACACAGCAATGATCAATGGCTAAGTCGACAGATTCAAGACGATCCCTCACAACTGCAAACTGTTGTACGAGATTGCACAAGGTGCAAAAATGTGGCCACATGCATTCCTGACAAAGTCTTCGTAACTACACCCTTTGTCACACTGCTGACCCTACACACATTTGACAAACAAGTACAGAAAATTGTAGAACCTGGACAAGGTTAGGTAAAGGATATCTTTAGAGATGTATACCTTGGGCTCTCGAGATAATATCCATGTTGAGAGAAAAAGCTCAAAAGCCGATTCAATTAGCGCCCTGCCAAGTCACAGAACAAAAATCAACATACAGCACCGAAAGAACAAACGATACCCTGAAATAGAGTATGCACAATGTGGAAGCTATTTTCCTAAAGTCAAACAGAGACCCAACACTGACTTCTGCAGTATCCCGTCCCCTAATGGGCGTGGAGGGCCACAGCAACGATCCTTGTGAAATGACAACCGCCAGCTCTGAAAGATCACTCATCAAATGACAGCCGCCTGCCACGAGTCCCTATTCCCGAAGCACAAGAATTTGTGTGCAGCAGGCCTAAACCATCTCAACTGGAGCATAAAAGACGAAGTTCAGTAGGTGAAAAAATGGGGTTCTCACAACTTTCACAGACATTCGGAGAGTTTACACACTGCATTTCCAATTCCCTACAAAATTATGACGTACAGAAACAGAAAAAAAAACTTAGCAAACTCCACTTCGTAATATCATAAAACTAGTGCAAAGTTGCGAACTACGTTTAAAAAACTTTCAGCAAAGTTCACTTTAACAAGAGTTACCAAATAGTTCCTAACTATACCCGTATAGTCTTCAGCATATACCTTCAATAAAAAGCACCCAACTCACTGAGATAACAACGGCATATTACTGAATGGTTCACACTCATGACCCATAGTCTTTATCACTTATGAAGCAGAGTCCTCAGGACTTGCATAGAATAACAGATATCCGACTGGTTGGCATAGTAATGACACATGCTTCAACTCTTGCCATGGGCATACACAGTTGACCAGATTGAAGGGACAGGGAAAGAACTTCCCACGCACAGTGGGAACGAAAAGGCTGTCGGGATTGGAAAGAATGATGCTCCTCATAAATGCGACACATGTCAAGCGGACAGTCGCTCCACATTTCCATGTGTATTTATGTCCCACAAATAGGCTATCATTGAGGTAACTGCAGTAAACCTGACGCACATATTGCTAGGTAGGGTAGCATACAAAGCATTACTGAGCATCCACAATGCAAATTGTTCATCTGATTGCACCTGCAAGGACTTGCATATGCAAGAGAGACAGTGCAAGGCAAACGAATGCCAAGCTCACGACAGTTGGACTCGGAGCTGACCGCTTATTCAAGCAGCATAAAGGTTTTCTTCGCCCTACAACAGTCCAATTTGCAATCTCCTCTATGATAGGGAATTGGGACCAGAAGTGGTGGGTAATTTTCTTTACTTGTGGTAGCCCGAGCTCACAACAGTTGGACTCTGAGCTGACCCCATACAGTCCGATTTGCACTCCCCTCTACGATTGGGAATTGGTACCAGCAGTGGTGAGTAAGTTCCTTTACTTGTGGTACCACCAGCATCACATATACCCCTGACATTGGCACTTGAAACAACCATTGAATCTAGTGGATTTTCAACAAGGCTTGCTACTTCCCTGTGTGATAACATAGCTTCCGGATCACACCCCACATCAAATAGCTGCAGAGATTCCAGATAGGTGCTTGCCATAGGCATCCCCAACATTCTATAGGCCACAAGGGCGCTTGCAAAGACAGAGTAGTAGGACAAAAACAGCAGTGCTGGGAAGGGCCAGAAGGACCAGGAGGAGGCAGAAGATGACCCTAGTTAGGACTGAGGGCAAAAGGAGGGAAACAATGAGAAGTGGAACGAATGAGAGGAGGGGGACGAGGAAGGAGGAGGAGGGAGGAGGAGGAGCTGAAGGCCTTGGTGTGTGCCATGGCGCATGGCATCCTTCATATAACTTCCCTAAAGAAGCTTTTGCACATCCAATAGCCACTTCAAACTCGATGAAAAACTTACTGTGTATCACTGTCAATCGCAGGCGCCCGAGGTACGTTTAAGTAGTACTGGGTCAGACCTTGACACCATAGCATGAATGCTGCAAATCCAGATTCACAATAAACAATAAATGAAACACAAGGTTAATGATACTTCACCTCACTTCCATCTCGTCAGCCCGAGGCGTCAGGACAAACCAGCTACAGGACGCAGGGACTCCGAGAGTATGTCCATTTTCCAGATTTTGAAGACTCGAAGAACGTACACTGCATAGTTCAATGTCCAAGTAGCAGCTTTTTACTACGTAAAAATCCTCCAGATCCCAACACAGACTCTGGCCATCAATTTCCCAGCTTCATATGCAATACATGGCAAACAGAGCATTCAACTTCACTGCACTAACAGGAGTGGCCTAATCCTATCTCATACTTGAGAGGATGTTAAAAGGCTGAGTGAACAGCCAAACAGCAATCTTCTTGTCAGATGGAAACCAGGTCCGGATTCCGTACACCGATGATACACAGGCTTCCCTCTGTGATGGCCGAGGGACACCGAGACAATGCCTTGATTACTTCCTTCACAAAGGATTACCCCTGCTACACCCCTGTGATTTTCCTATTGCCGGGCTCTGTGTACTCTGGAGATTCTGTCTGTAAAGCTCCTCTCAGCTCTAGATGGCTGCCTGATAATCTCTCTTATATCTGAAGCTGTTTCAGTGGACAGATGTAAGTTACAAGAGCTATCCCTTGCCTGTGGCTAAGGTTTCCGCTGTACTTTCGTTCTCCTTTAGTCGTATGTTTGTCCCTGCTATCTCCTGTATCCTGACTATTAAACTATGCCTTCTGCTCCTCCTGTTATTTCACATTTCCAGTGAGTTATCTGGGTTTGAGTTACCTCTGAACTGATGGCTACTAGTTGTCGGTGGGATCACCCAGTCATCTAATTTGAGACACCACCATTTTCTCAGCGGATTTGGGCTGTACGCAGCAAGCCCAGTACAGCTCCCAACTAAGATTTGAAAAACAATCAGTGGATGGCTGCTCTTTGACTGGTCAGCAGACCACTGACCGGTAGGCCCTACTGGTCGGCTGCCATATGATGGGCGGTCGGGATCTTTCCCATTTAGTCAACAGCAGGAAAGGTAGGGGGTGCTTTATCCCAAAAATAACACCAGTGCATTACATTCAACTTACAGTCTTACTGTCGCATACCGTAACGGTGCAGACCAGAACAAGAACCAACCTCTCTCACATAGTACAGCATAGCGCAGCGGAAGGCTAAAATACCAATGATCAGACCAATCAATGTCGCAATGCAGACCAAACATACATCATCATGATCGCAAGGTGTGCAGGGGCCTGACGCTACACACAGGAAGAATGCGCCAGGCTCCAACCATACACAGATGAGGAGGAGGGGGATCAGACGAAGAAGAGGGAGAAGATGGGAATGTCATCACACAAGTGTCGCTGGTATCGATCCCTAATAGTCCCTCGTCAATGTCTCGGTCCCAAGGTCGAGTCTGTATCCAAATGCCGTCAACATCCCAAAGTCACAAATCTCTCTCTCTCTCTCTCTCTCTCTCTCTCTCTCTCTCTCGCGCGCGCGCGCGCGCGCGTAGTCTGTCGATAGTGAGAAGTCAGGTAGCAAGAGGGTGAGGGAGAGATGGTGGACTTAGAAGAGGAAGAAGAAGAACTCTCTCTCTCTCTCTCTCTCTCTCTCTCTCTCTCTCTCTCTCTCGTGCCAGGTACTAACCTGTGAAGGTGGCGCCTTGTTGCAGGTACATCGAAGACGAAGCTGGAGCTATGGCTCCACAGGTAAGCTCCCAGGTAAGTCTCCCTGGCCTCCACCACTTCCTCTCTCCCAACGCTACTCTAAGATCCTAGCAGCGCCCACCGCTGAAGACTACTCCTATCGCTATCTACTACTACTGCAGCGCTCCTGCAGAGTGCTGCTGCCGAGTGCCGAAGCCTGCCTCCTGGTCTGCCTGCTGCCTGCTGCCTCCTGGGCGGACCAGTACTAGATAGTGCTGGTCCGGCTGGGAGGCTGCTCTTGCCAATGCCGAATCGTGCCAGACACTGGCGCTGAAGTTCAAAAAAAAGGTTGTCTTGAAACGGGCCTAAAAGTGGTCTGCCCTTATCCCTGGTCTGGCGCCTAAGTTTCAGGAAAGGTCGACTTTATGAGGGCCTAAAATTGGCCCTCTTTAGGCTTTTGGGCTGAAACGGCACAGGGCCTGGAGGGCCCTTATTCCGCCTGGTCGGGCCCTGCAGGCCCGTGTGGTGCGCAGTATGTGCGAGGCATAAGGCCCCGATGAGCCCCCTTTTTCCCCTGTAAGCAGCACAGTCGACCGCCCTAAGTGAAGGCAGGCCCGACCGAGGCCAAGAGGCCTATTTTTCAGCTACCACGCAACTGGGGAAATTCAGGCAGTTGCGCAGCGCCAGTTGGTTGAGAGCGCCCAGGCCCTGGCTGCCTTTTTCGTACATAACTGAGGCAGGCCCTGGGCCAGATGCACAACAAGGGCCGAACACATGCTGCAGGCAGTTGTGCACAGGCAACCGTCACAGGAACTGGGCCTGATTCGTTTGGACCAGGGCTCAGCCTCTCGGGGCCTACCGGAATCTTCTGGGCAGGGGCCCAGCGCATACAGGCCACACGCACCAGGCAGGCCACTTCCATTTAGGAAAGTGCCTGCCCTCGCATTAGGCATTCGGGCACTGGCTGCATGCTGCGCTATACGCTGACCAGAGCCCACGCGCTCACGGGCGAGCTGGATGAGCAGGCAGCCATAGCCGAGCTGCGCTGCACTATGCTGGATGGAGCGCATGGTGGTCCTTAGGTGCAGTGGGGGATCGAGGTTGTGAGTGACGCAAGAGACATACCTGGTGCTTGAGGCAAACGGCATTGGCCGAGATCTGCTCGTACTTTGGGGAGCTGTTGACGTCACCAGCGGCATTGTAGATAGGCTAGATAGGCTCTGCCATTTGTAGTCTGGGCGCAGAGCGCCACATAGGATGTTGACATTGGTTCTTTGTTGATGATGATGAGACTATTCCAACATTGTCACTTGTGAGCTTTTGCTGTGCTCTTATTTGGTGGAACTCGTGTCGCAATTCTGCTTTTGGTTCGAGGTCACGACTATCTGGTTTCATGTGTATTATGCTGCTTGGTTTCTGGAGTTCGCTATTGCTCATTTTCCTTGCATATGCCACACTTACCCTAAAAAAGTCGTACATATTTTAGCAGGGCCACGTACTGGCTAAGATGCTGGGACATGCAGGTTGATGGGAATGCCTTTTCATGAAACACATGGTGATCTGAACCGCACTCAGAGCATACTCACATTGTTCCTTTTTCAACTGAATTGGTCATAATCCTCTGTCAGATACATAAGTACTATGTGATTATGCCCAAAGATAAGTGGCTTTCCTGAAGACAGCTCAGGAATTGCCATAACTGTCTCTACCTGTTGCGAAGATTTGCCGTTGAGCATCCTTCACCCCTCCGAGCACAGGGAGAACCCTCGACAGCACGTCCTTCAGATATGGGACAAAAAGCAGAGCTGCAATGATAACAAGCATATTCAACCTCAAATCAACTTACAATCCAATAACCATTCTTTTTTCCACACAGACAATTGACGCTCTCGAAGTGGAAAGAGAACCATCGTAGCCTTTCAACAAAGGTGATCATCAAGATAGAATCAGATGCCTGTGGATGAAGATCAGATCCAAAGCAGTGGAGATGGAGGGGAAAGGTGCAAAGAAGACAGTGAAGAATTCTCGCTCAACCGGTTACTGAGAGGGGAACTCGTTAACTGAAATTCACCCTAAAGGAGCCTAAACCAAGGCTGGGCCGGCAACCAGCCGGTTCAGCTCGCTCGGTTCAACCGGAGCTGGACCGGCCCAGGGGGGTTGAACCGGAAACCCGGTTTTCAAAAAATAACCGCCTTTTTTTTTTCCTTCTGCAGATTCCGACTGCGCTATTTGATATCTGTCGAAATCCACATTAAAACTTTGAGGGTACAATTTTTTTTGGGGGGGGCGGGGGGGGTCCCAGGGGAGAGGGAGGTATTATTGAGGAGGGTTCAGGGAGGTACAGATTTCACATAAGAGGGGTCAAGCGAAGAAAATTATTCGTCTGACCCCCACATGGCTAGACGATTTCAATTCAACTCTATACAGGTCGTGGACTTCATAATTAGTAAGAACCACACCACCCAAGAGGTAGAGTACAATATACTGATCGGAGATCCTTGCTCGAACTTATAGTCTTGCATAGCATCGTGCCCGGCAGCAGAAAGTTACGGGTTCAGGTTTCAGCTCGTGCAGGCAGAGTGTTCTCTGTTTGTTTTTCGTTGTTGTTTTGTTTTCTGTTTGTTTTCTTTCAATGTGCCGTGGTTCATCAGTCCGAAAGTATCTTGCCTAGCAGGCTGTCCACATACACGAGGTCCATTCTTGGGCTTGCACCTCCGACAGCACTGCTATTCTGACTTTGAAACCCCAACCCGTAACCTTTTGCCCAGAGTGCAGGGACGTCGACGAAACCTATAAGCTCAGCAAGCCACTGCTGAAACGTCATGCTGGCTTGCAGTGGATGAGCATAAGGACCATTTTGCAATGAATTGAGGTGCTACAAGCAGGCTGTATACTAATTTTGTCCTTGTCGCCGTTGTTGGGACTTGATCCTGCAACCTTTGTTTGCTGTTTGTGTGTTTTGAACCTTGTGGGTGACCTGTAACCTGTGTGTTTTGTTTGTGAGTGTTGTGCCCTATGGGGCTTGATCCCTGCGTCTGTCACTAGTTGTTGCATACTGTAACGTGCAGACCAGAACAAGAACCGACCTCTCAATACAAAGTATAAGGTAGCACAGCGGAAGACTTAGATACCAATGATCCGAACAATCAATATTGCAATGCAGCCCTGAACATAATACATCATCATCATCGTTACATGGTGTGAATGGGGTCTGGCGCTTCACACAGGAAGACTGCGCCAGCCCCTACCATACACAGACGAAGGAGATGGGGGTTAGACGAAGAAGAGGGGGCAGATGGGAATGTCGTCAACACCAAGTGTTCAGCACAGGCCCAAATAGTCCCTCGTCGAAAGGTCTGAATCCCAAATGTCGAGTCTGGATCCAATGTCGTCAAGTCTCAAGTCACAACTCTGTCTCTCTCTGTCGTAGTCTGAGAAGTCGGGTGGGGAGAGGGTGAGAAGAGATGGTGGAAGAACTCTCTCTCTCTCTCTCTTTCTGTGTCCAGTACTAACCTGTGAAGTTGGTGCCTTGATGCAGGTACCTCGCAGATGGAGCTGGAGCGATGGCGCCACAGGTAAGTACCACTGGCCTCCGCCAGTATCTCTCTCCGATACTGCTACCCTACCACTATAGCGCCCAGCGCTGAAGACTACAGCTATGGCTATGGGCGCCCAGCGCCGAAGACTACTACTAGCGCTAATACTACTGCCTACCGCTGAAGACTACTGCAGCGCTCCTCCTGAGTGCTGCGGCCGAATCCTAAAGACTACTCGTGCCTCTGACAACTACCTACCCGTGAAGTGCATGGGACTATCCTATGTACTACTCGGGTGTGCCTCCTGACTGCAGGCGAGCAGTCCAGGAGGCTGCTCTTGCCAATGCCGAAGGGAGGCAGGGGCTGCAGCTGCAGCTCCTGCTCGAGCTGGCGTGGGGAACAGGCTATTTCTGGCCTGTTCCCGAAACCCTGTTTCTGTGCCTGAGTCTTAGGTAGGTCGAACACAATGAGGGCCTGAAAATGGCCCTCCGTTTCAGGCTGAAAAGCCTCTGGGCCTGAAAGGCCCAGAAATAGGCTGAAACGGAATAGGGCCTGCAGGCCCTCGTATTTCAGCTTTCAGGCTGAAACGACCGGGGCCTGTAAGCCCTAAGTTTTAGGCTTTGAGGCTGAAAGTGCGGGCAGGGCCCGTGTGGCTACGCAGTATGCCACACTAGTAGTCTCTGTTTGGTAGTCCTAGGCAAATGGCCTTTTTCTTTTGCCTCGTCATAGGTCAAGGCCCCTTTTGCCCTGTTTCCATCTAGATACGGATAGGTCTTGGGTTGTTGCTTTGGGGAGGCTGCCGTAGGTCTAGGCGGAGGGTAGAAGTAGTGGGCAGGAAAATTAGTTTGGGTCTTTTCTCGTTGTTTCTGCTGGGGAAACTCCGCCCGTTCGTTGCGTAGCGTTGCTGCTTTATTTTTGGGCGAGGGCATCTTCTTCCTCGAAGCCCAGCCATAGCTGGGGCTGGGACATGAAGTTTGAGATCGCACTGCTGCTATTCAGCAGCTCTGCACGAGAGCTTCACCACGACTGTGTTGTTGGGTTTGGACGCTGCCTTCCTACACTTGGCAGCCATATCTGCTGTTCCTCCTCATGAGGAACTTCGTTTTTCTCTTCTTCGAAGTGCTGGATCGGTTGTCTCCTTCTTCATCAGGACTTCAAGCGCTGCACTTCTGTGCAGGCGCTGAGCTGGCACTGCTATCATTGGGGTTGCTGGTTCAGACTGGCACGTTGTGACAGCTGTGAGGTTACTGCTGCTGCAGCAGCCATAGCTATGAGGTGGCGAGGACGAAGAAGAAGACTCTTGTAGACTTCGTTGAACACTTGTTTTTGGTTGTTCGGGGTTGTTGTAAGCACGGTTGTGATTCTTGGGACAAGTACTTTGGATTGATTGGAGGAGGACGGGGGATTATAGAATTGAAATTCGTTTTTCAATTCTCTGTGTATTTCGAGCTTCCGGTGTGCATATCTTCTCTCTGGTTTTGTGTGGATTTGGCTCCTCCGAGTCTACTCTGTAATTGCATGCGTGTATGGGAACGTGTGAATTCGTTGTGGATGGAAGTTCAATCGGGTACATAACAATTTAATGTCTCGTCCCTGACCCGTTGGACCTCACATTGGTAAAACGAGGAATAGGGGCCTGTTAGACCCCTCATGGTAAAAAAAATATGTGGTGGTTCTCCGCTGCTGATCTGCAAAAATCAGCAGTGGCTGATCTGCAAAAGTCAGCAGCGGAGATCCTCCGTCCCTTTTTTTTAACGAGTGGGCCCAGTGGGGTCCAAAAGGCCCCGTTTTTGTTTTTGTTAAGGGAGGCAGTGGGCCCCCGAGGTCTGGGCAATTGTGTGGGTGCCCGTGACTCCCGGTACACCCGCCCTCAGCGCAATGCGCTGGGTTGGACCGGGGGCCTGCCGGGCCGGTGAACCGCCCTGTTCAACCGGCAGGCTCCCGATCCATCCGGGAGCCAGCACTGCCCTAAACCATCAGTCCATCCAAAGTTGCTGTCCATCCGTTTTTGTATACGAGAAACACCCCTGGGCCGTTCCTCCCACGGCCCGTAGAGCAACGGATGAACAGTAAGCTCAGGCCCAAAAATGTTTGTGGGAAGCCCATACTTTTCAATAATACAGAGGCTGGTACCGCTACCGTGTTGACGAACGGTACCGGTCACATTCAGGCTCGGCAAAATGCATTTTTTCGTTCGTCAATTTAGCTTCGGATGGATTGGTGATTCAAATGGTCCAAATGGCACCCCTTGGCCCAGTCTGACACGAACCAGTGGGCTGCAAGCCCAACAAAAGAATGTCTGACTGAGGCGGCCAAAGAGAAATGGTGTCTAGGGAAACAGGAGCATGACAGAAATGCGATCCCCGAGCTACACAGGGAAAGGGGATCAGACTTGAAAGACACAGAAGAGAGGAGATTCGGGGCATACTCACACTAGAACTTTTTCCATTTCTCTGTGGACGTAATTGTGATTTTGTGCATCCTGGCAATGTTGGAAAAGCGGTCATATACATCCAGGAACATGCGCAGCCACAAAGATTCAGCCCAGAGGATGTGCAGCCACAAAGATCTGGGTCACTTCGGGGACCCGCCAGAGGACATGCAGCCATGAAAATCCACTTTGGATTTGCATTGCCCCCAGAGGACGGAGGGATTCGAGCCACTTCCGATTTGCATCGGGCCCGCCAGAGGACGGACAGATTCAGGCCACTACGGATTTGCATCAGGCCTGCCAGAGGATGAACAGATTCGGGCCACTTCGGACTACGAAGCTGTACACGAACATATAGCACAAACGACGTATTCCATTCAGTTTGCCTAAGAAAAAACACACACGAAGCTCGTGATTCGAGCTCCTCACCTCTACGCCACAAAACCAAAAATGGATTAACCAAACGCAGCGCCACAAAAGGAAAACAGAATAAAGACAAAACGCGGCCGCAAAGTTCGCGCCCCCCATCTTTGGAACGACAGAACTCAAAAGTCCGAAAGAAAAGAAAGAAACGCCACCCTGGAGAAACGGGACACCACCAGGACACTCTAGGTCGAGCAGGGAGCGTCTTACGAGACCCGCTATATATCGTCACAAATAGAACTGCCCGGTAAACCGTAGGCAGAGAGAGAGAAGAGGACAACAAACGAGGGGCTGTGACAAACTGTTTCGTCGGAGTTTCACCGACTCATCAGGAGGCTGAACCCTCAACATATATATATATATATAGTCAAACAGAGCTGCCCGGTAAACCGTAGGCAGAGAGGGAGAAGAGGAC